CCCCCCCCATACCCTAAATTATAGGATTTTCACAAAGGGTGGCGTTGAAAAATTTTCCGCTCCTTAGCGGGCGGCAGCTTCAAAAAGGTTGAGAATCACTGCTCTAAGGGATAAGAAAACAAATAGTAAGACAGAAGAATCTTTTAAATAATTCCATACAGTTTGGGAAGTTAGGAATGTGCGTGCTTAAAAAATAATTTGGAAAAAGTACTTCAGACCTTGCATGAGTGCAAGCACAGGGCCACTCATTTGTTCACTAAAGCACCTGGAGGGTTTTCATACTTCTGTGGCAGCCTTGAAGAAAAGGTGTGGGTGTTTTAAGGAGTCATCTTATTAAAATTAATGTGATACTTAAAGATACTGCACCTGTTTGGAAGCCTGAAGAAAGGGACCATTTTAATGAAGAGCAGAGAGATATCTTAGCAGTAACACTGATAAAACTGTTAAGGTAAAATCAGTAACCTTTGTGAGTATATATGTTTTTTTTAGTTTATTAAAATATATGGTGATAGACCAAACATAGTTTGTAATTAGAGGGGAGATTAATTCTGCCTTCCAAAAGTAGTAGATCTAACATTTCAGAAGTGCATGTATTACTGTCTCAATCTCAAGTATGATTAAATGCACAAACACTCTTGATAAGGAACACCATTGTATCTACTCAACAGTTCTATTGAGGGGAGACCATCTAGATTTGCCAGTGTAAAGCCTTTCTGTGAGATGAGACTAATAAGTAATATAGATATTGGGGAAATGTAAAAGGGAAGTGTGTGAGCTCATTGTAGCAGTGATGAGGATTATTGGTTCTATCCCTTTGTAAATTGAGATCTGAAATTCTCCATTTGAGGTTCTCTCCAGCCTTCATCCAAGCCTCGCATGGATACAGACTGGGGGGTGAGCCCACAATGAGCCAGGTAATCCATTATTTGTTTCTTCCAAGAAGACTGGTATCTGTTGTCAGAACTACTGTAGTTGGGCTAAAGATTCACCACCCCAAATTTGTTTAAACCAGTATTTCAACTTGGCAGAGTTGTGATCGAACCTTGACTGAGTTACAGTCAAGTTCTAAGAGGAGAAGCACATTACCGACAGAACAGGAAACTCAGAGTTAGGATCTCTGAAATTCTGATTGTACAGCTTCTGAGACACAGATGTCCTTGTAAGTGCAACATTGTGTGCCCTACAGCAAAACACTTAGCACTTTGGCTTTAAAAAGTTTAATTGCTGCAGGCACACGATTGTTACTTATGAGTTGAATATCTAATTATTGTATTAGAGGCCGGTTGGGCTTGTAATAAAAGGTTTGAAGAGTGAAGCTTCCAAGAAGAAGATGACTAGAAATATATGCCAAGATATTTGAAAGCCTTGACCTACTCAATTTGGTAGGTCAATTTATTGATCTTCTAAATATGGGGGTGGTTAGTGTGCTGCTTGGTAAATACAACCACCTTGGTTTCACGTTGATTTCTAGCATTTCAGGTTGGCAGTGGGATGCTAATGCATGAAGGCTGGATCGCAGCCCTACTTCGAAACAGGCAAAATTACATTATCATCAGCGTAGATATAGATATGGAGATTGGTTTACTAGCGAAAGAAGGTGGATGAAATTCGGCTTTGGTAAAGGCCTGAACAATATCACTGATGTAAAAATTGAATAATAGAGGAGCCAGGATACATTCCTCTGTAACTCCCTTAGAAGATGGAATAGGGTCAGTCAGTTCTCCATTATTTGAACATTGGCTCTGCATTGCCCTTTCATGCAACATCATAATTAGTTGCAGAAGCTGACAATCGATGGAGGAAGCTGCTAGTTTTTGCCACAACCTCTTATGAGGGATTGAATTAAATGCTACTTTCAAGTCTATGAAAGCAGCATAGAGAGCATTTCCAGGAGGGTTAGTATATTTCGCTGAGAGGTGGTACAGAGTGATACATTGAGTAGCAATAGAAAAATCTGATCTAAAACCACCTTGCTTCATTTCTAAAATTATTTCTAGTGAGCTTATAAAAAAGATGTTTAGTATATAATTTGCTAATTATGCATATAAGCTGATAGAATGGTTCTTAGCTGGGTTGGTTTTGTCACCTTTTTTGAATATTGTTATTATAATGGAAATTGCTCCATTCCTTGCGGATCTGCTAATGTTCGTGAATAAGAGGGCTAAAATAGTAGCCCACCAATCAGGATTTTGTCTGAGCATTTTCTGGAAGACCATGTCCCTCTAGGAATTCTGTCACTTTTAAGATAGTCAATTACCACTGGCTTGGAGACCAGGGGCCAGTCGGAGAAAGAATTGGAGATTGTTAGATATATATCAGAATCTCTGACTGTGGTTTGGAACAGTGCATGATAGTGAGTATCTTAGGTCTCACGTGATATTAGATTATCCATTCTTGATCTGGGAATTATACACACAGGAGAAACAAGGCACTAAAACATGGTGTCATTCTTGCCTAAGAATGATTGAATTATTCTGTCCCACTTTGTCAATTGACTTGCCCATTACTTCTTACTCAGAATAACTTTCCATTTTGGTATGCCCATATGTTACTGCTGCTACACAAGCTGCATTGGTTGCCAGTTGGCTTCTGAGTGTAATTCAAGGTGTTGGCTATTACCTATAAAGCCCAGCATGACACAGGGCCTGGATACCTGAGAGACCGCTTGTCTCCGGCTGCTTCTGCCCGCCCAGTGCATTCCAGCAGACCAGGTGGATTCCAGGTCCCCTCTAGTAAACATTATCTTATGGGATTGAGGAAGTGTGCTTCTCTGTTGCAGCCCCCACCCTCTGGAACAGCATCTCCCCAGAGGTTAGCACAGCACCCTCTCTCCTGGGATTCCAGGAAGCTGTTAAAACCTGGCTTTGGTTCAAAGTCTGGGGTTAATGTATTTTGGAGGAGGGCTGTTGTGAGTTTTGTTGCCTTTATGATTGTTTTTGTCTCAGCTGTTTGTATGGTTTTATATTTTTAATTGTTTTTACTGTTCTTTTGATTTTGTAGTCTGCTCAGAGTCTGTCAAAATTGGGTGGCTTAATAAATTTAAATAAATAAATAAAGTTTGTATTCTTGTTTCTGGAAATAAAAGGTTTCCTGGCAGCAGGAATCAGTACTTACTTTCTTTTTATATTTTGGTCTGTGACCTTAAATTGAATGAATGAATGAATGAATGAATGAATGAATGAATGAATGAGGAAAAAATGGTGGCTTTGTGAGCAGCAGTCACTAAGACTTTGGTGTGAATACGCTCTTAGCCAAACCAAGGTCTGGAGAATTTGGCTTGAGCTCTTTGTGTTGGCTCAGAAGTACACTTTATGCATAACTGCATTGATGTAATAATATTTTGGGAATTATCAGAGGTGGTCTGTGTTCACTGGGTTCAATCATAGCCTGTTATGCTGATGGCCTCTCAATGAATTTATGAGTTAAAGTACATACATATTCCAGCTTACTGTATGTGGTTGTTTGGTGCAGAAAAAACATCTCAGTCGAAAATTCTGAGACATTTAGGGTCAGGGCCTTAACTTTTAAGTGAAAGGAAAAAAGAGCCTTGCAAGGGGAGATGGTCACTGTCAGAGAGGGAGGAGATGCAAAAGTGTGTGCAGCAAATGATCACATTGCTAGTAATTAACATATAGTTAAGTGTATTGTCTCCTTTCCCTTTCCAGAAAGTGAGCTCTCCCTCTGAGTCTCCAGGAGCTGAGCCATTTAAGACTAAGAGACTAAATTTGATGGCTAGATGTATCAATTTCCATCCCCTAAGTTAATACCTTGTTTTGAGCCAATTAACTGGAAACTGGTTAAATACAAGTACAGAGCATTGAAGTGGCAGAAGAGAGCTTTGTTGTCAGAACTCATCCTGGCACTGAAGTCCCCTGCTAAGATAATCTCTGAATTTGGAAACTGGACTGTTGGCTCTAATGCCAGTCTTCAAGAGTGTCCCAAGTTCTGTTGGTTTTTGAGACTAGCCTGCAGGGGGGAAGATATATGTTAATTAGTGGTAGGTTTAAGGATGTACTTAGTAGACAAGGGTTAACACAGTTACAAAAATATTGGAAGAAATAAGTGTGGTAATACACCTGTGAGCATAAATACTTTTCAAACTTTGTATCACTATCAAGGAGGCAGCTGTGTAGTTATGGGAGCTCAGTGCCATAGAATTAAATGTTTCCTGGAGAAAAAGAATTTCAAACCAGTCTAAGGATGAAAGAAAAGGTGGGTCTTCAGATTTATCACATCATCCAGCGATATTCGAGGAAAGCAGCTGGATGGACTACTGGAAAGGCAAACATCATTTTGCAGAGGTGAAACTGAGGCAATTCTAGTGAGGTCTGTGGCTTTTTGGTCAGAGTGTATAAGTAGTTTGTTTTCAAACTACTCTGGCATAAATACCTTAGTGGGTTTAGGACATACTCCCTGTCAAATAAAGATTTTGTTGAGATGGGTAATGTCAGACTCCCAAGTTGACTTTGTCCCAGTGTTTTTGCTGGTAAGTTCTCTAGCCTCACTTTTTAATTAGAAATTGAGCAGAGTGTGAAGGGGGATATGCTACTACTCTAAAAGAAAGTCCAGGAGTTTCAACTGGAGATGAGGAGGAGGAGGATTTGTGTCTGATTTTACACAATGTATTGGGCACCCTCCAAAAAGAAATAAAATAAGAAATAAAATGAAATACAAAAATAAAAATGACCCAAATTTTGCAATATGTCAAGTAAGAACACAGACATCTTGTGAAATCTGTCTGTCTCATTATTTGGGGCCATTTGAAGCATATATATATATATATATATATATATATATATATA